AATATCAAAAATAAATAAATATATGATGTTTACATGGTTTGTTAAATTAAATGAAAAATAATATAAAATTTTAATATGATGTTTATTTTTCGAGAATTAACAGGTAAGGAGAAGAAGAAATAGCTCAGAAAATGGGGATGACGTTGATGAGATTTACCAAACTGAACTTGTTCAGTTGTTTTCCGAAGAAGACGAGGTATAATTACATTTCTATTTTTATATAAAGCTGAAACTTACATATTGATATAGTATTCGGATTCTATATAACTAGCCATATTAAAACTCTTTTTTTCTTATATAAACTTGAAATAAGGACCTATTATTTGGTGCATTTATTTGACTTTATTGATATCATCATCATCAGTATCACTATTTCGAATTCCTTTTCTTAAGCTTTAATTAAGAGCAGAAAATTAAATAAACATAGCACATAGAGATAGTGGTTTTATTGCTAGCCTAAATTGCACAACACCCACTGCCTAAATCCTAAAGAAGATGCTTTATGTTTGATATTAAGTATTTGGATGCTTTTGTTAATGGTACTTTAGGTTAAGGTGTTTTTCGCAAGATTGGATGAAGAACTAAACAAAGTGAATCAGTTTCACAAGGCCAAAGAAACAGAGTTTTTGGGAAGAGGAGAGATTCTGAAGAAACAGTTAGAGATACTTGCAGAGCTCAAACAGATCTTAAGTGATAGGAAGAAGAGAAACTTGTCTGGCTCGAATTCACATCGCTCCTTCTCATCTTCTGCTCGAAACTCTGATTTCTCTGCAGGTTAGTCTTCTTCTTATTAATGCTTTTAATACAAGTTAGGTCAGATTGAGGGTATTTTAGTAAATTATGCATTTTGACATAGACTCTTAAAAGCTAACCATTAATATATCTGAGATATTACGTGGCCTGCACCCATTAGAAACCACAAAAGTGCATGTCCTAGAGGCCGTTTACGTAGTGGGGCAAGTAAAAAGAAAAGTAGGTTATTTAATAGTTATATAGAGCACAATTTACGATTTTGTGTTTTTTAAATAATTCAAGTAAAAATTCATATGTTTTGATGCTATCACACACAATAGAAATTCTACTACTGAAATGACAAGATTTGTTAAGCTTACAAATCTTTTGCATGTGGATGCAAAACTCGAAGCTGCATATATTTGAAAGAAAGAATTTTAGAGTTTAGAGATTTTATTATGTCCGACAAGAACATGAGAACACAAATCGATTCTACTAACAAACAAACAAAATGTTTGTGAGTATGAAAATAAAAATAGACCGACAATAGATGACTAGGTCGACATATTTTTTTTTCCTTTCTTCTCTTTTGATCTTGTGTCTTTTGTTATTAGTAACAAAATATATAATCATTTTGTAATTTCTTTTCTTATTGTTCAGGGTCTCCAGGAGAACTAAGTGAGATACAAAGTGAAACATCAAGAACAGATGAAATCATAGAGGCATTAGAGAGGAACGGTGTGAGTTTCATAAACTCTGCAACAAGGAGCAAAACAAAAGGAGGCAAACCAAAAATGTCTCTCCGCGTCGACATTCCCGACGCCGTGGCAGGAGCCGAAGGTGGCGCTGCAAGATCCATCGCCACCGCCACGTCTGTTCTGTGGGAGGAGCTCGTCAACAACCCAAGAGGTGGTGGAGGAGATTTCATCAACCGGAAAAAGATTCAATGCGCAGAGAAGATGATACGAAGTGCTTTTGTTGAACTCTATAGAGGTCTTGGCTTGTTAAAGACTTATAGGTAACTTCATTGACTCAATATTTTTATTTCGTGGTCCTATGAGTCTAATTCTTGTGTTGGCTTTATTTTGGCAGCTCGTTGAATATGATAGCATTTACGAAAATAATGAAGAAATTCGATAAGGTAAAGTGGCTATAGATAGTACTTTCGGTGATAAACCAATGAAAAAGATAATGGTTAATGATGGTTCTTTGATATATGGTCCAACAGGTTGCTGGTCAGAATGCATCATCAACGTATCTCAAAGTCGTAAAGAGATCGCAATTTATCAGCTCTGATAAGGTAATAATAAATAACTATATTAAGTTGTCTAATTCTATGAATAAAAGATTAAAAAAGATTGATGGTTGATTAAAATAAAAAGGTGGTAAGACTGATGGACGAAGTGGAGTCCATATTCACAAAGCATTTCGCCAACAATGACAGGAAAAAGGCCATGAAATTCTTAAAACCCCACCAGACCAAAGATTCTCACATGGTCACTTTCTTTGTTGGTACTAATTTTTTTTCTCTATGTTTTTTTTACCTTTATACCATTTATTTTCAAAAACAATTCACCAAGAGTTTTAACAAATTGAAATTTTTTTCTGCAGGATTATTTACGGGTTGCTTCATCTCACTGTTTAGTATTTACATAATACTAGCACATCTTTCTGGAATCTTCACTTCTAGTGCACAAGTCTCTTATATGGAGACTGTTTATCCTGTCTTCAGGTATATATAATTCTTTTTTTTTTGTGCACCTAGGTATATATAATAGAAGTGAAGAAGATAGTACAAAGATGTTTATTAATTGTTCTGATAATTTGTGTTTTTTTTCTTTGGAAAAACGCAGCGTTTTTGCGTTGTTGAGTCTACACATGTTCATGTACGGATGCAATCTGTTCATGTGGAAGAACACGAGGATAAACTACACCTTTATATTCGAGTTTGCACCAAACACAGCTTTGCGTTACCGAGACGCGTTTCTGATGGGAACTACGTTTATGACCTCCGTCGTGGCCGCTATGGTCATCCACCTCCTCCTCCGAGCCGCAGGTTTCTCTGCCAGTCAAGTAGACACCATTCCAGGCATCCTCCTCCTGGTAAATTAAATTACTTGGTTGATTAATTATCATATGGCGCGTTTCAATCGCAATCGCAATTTCAAACCGTTAATTTCTTTTTCGGTGTGCATGCTACAGATCTTCATTTGCGTGTTGATTTGTCCCTTCGACACATTCTACCGTCCAACAAGGTTCTGCTTCATTCGCATTTTGCGGAACATTGTTTGTTCACCTTTCTACAAGGTAACAATTGGAATTATTTGGTTACTTTCAGCACAAGAAATTGCAGAAACATGATTTTTTTTTTCTTGTACGGAACAGGTTTTGATGGTTGATTTCTTCATGGCTGATCAACTTACTAGCCAGGTAAATTAACTTCTACAACTTCAAATAGATGGTAACGACATATAATTTAGTCGATAATTAACCCATTTTTCGTGTTCTATTCAGATTCCATTGCTGAGACACCTTGAGTCAACTGGGTGTTATTTCTTGGCTCAAAGTTTCAAAACACACGAATACAATACCTGCAAAAACGGAAGAATCTATAGAGAACTTGCTTACTTAATTTCTTTCTCACCCTACTTCTGGCGTGCCATGCAAGTAAGCTCACTTAGGGTTTCTCTGTTTCTTTTTTGGTCAAGTCCCTTAAAACCTTTCTACTAACAGACTATGAACATTAATTTACAGTGTATAAGGAGATGGTGGGACGAATCAAACCCTGATCACCTAATCAACATGGGAAAGTACGTGTCAGCAATGGTTGCAGCAGGAGTCCGCATAACCTACGCGAGACAAAACACCGACTTGTGGTTAACCGTGGTGCTCATGAGCTCTGTTGTGGCCACCATTTACCAGTTATACTGGGACTTTGTCAAGGATTGGGGTCTTCTAAACCCTAAATCGAAAAATCCATGGCTAAGGGACAATTTAGTTCTCCGGAACAAGAACTTCTACTACCTCTCCATTGTAAGCCAAATTATAACGTTTTTCACAAGTTAATTATGATCTTCGACTAAATGCTGAGTTGTTATTCAGGCGTTGAATTTGGTGTTGCGAGTTGCTTGGATCGAGACAATAATGAGATTCAGGGTCAGCCCTGTTCAGTCTCATTTGCTAGATTTCTTGTTGGCGTCGCTTGAAGTCATTCGTCGAGGCCACTGGAACTTTTACAGGTAAAAAAGAACACTTCACCTAGGTTTAGAGATTTGTCTATAGGTTAAAACTTGATTTTGGATATTATTAAATATGAATCTTTCTTTTGGTAATAACAGAGTGGAGAATGAGCATTTGAACAATGTCGGCCAATTTAGGGCAGTGAAGACCGTACCACTACCGTTCCGTGACATGGACTCAGACGGTTAAACAAAGATAAGGTTATATAATTGGAGGGTTTAGGTCTCGAACCAAGTTACAAGGATTTAGAAGAAGCATTTCGGATTTTGCATCGATGTAGTCATATCGGAGAAAAACCTTTGGGAAACTTCCGAAATTGCCTAACCATTTATTCTTAAAAATATGAAATATGGGACTAATGGATTCTAGAACTGTTAAACGCTCCAAAATGCAAAACCAACAAGACAATTCAACTTCCCAGTTCATATATTGATTTCTGTAAATTTTGATTTGATTTTATGTTCAATAAGCTTCTTTCTTTTCTTAATAAAGAATGTCACTATCTGCTCAAGTTATTTACTTCTATTTTTCTGTCGTAGTCGAATCTTTTTCCTTATATATATATCAATTTACAGAGGCAAAAGAAAGTGTAGAACTTTACAGAGAAAAAGGAAAGTGTTTTTCTTTTTTTTTAGGTTAACCTAACTACTGTATAGTTTGCTTGTTGAATACGAAGATGTCCAATCTTCCAAGGGATTTATCGGATCTTCCAAGGGATATGGCGGAGGAGGTGCTATCTAGGGTTCCGGTGACATCTCTGAGGGCTATACGATCTACTTGCAAAAAGTGGAACACTTTATCTAGATGTAGGAGCTTTGCAAAGAAGCACCTTGATCGTCAAGCAAAAGTAGCAGCAAAGAAAAGAGAGTTTACGGTAGTCATGATGATGGATTTTAGGGTTTATTTGATGCGCATAAATCTTCACACCAACGTTGAATTGTGTATGAAGCGTGAAGGTGAACTTATTTTCCCCGACGCTTCAGATCAAATATATCTTCACACCAATACTCTAATTAGGTGAAACGTTTCCAAAGACATGGATTTTATTAGTAGCCTTTATTGTAATTTTATCGGTCTACAATATAGTAGATGAGATTCAATCCCTAAACATGATCAATAGGACGAGTCTTTAACAAATTCGATGTTGATGAATAGGAATAACTTTACAACTAAAAATATACGTTATTTTACTTCAATGAGAGAAGCCTGTTGTGGTCATGGACTTAGCGATCCGTGTGGAGATACAATAAGCCGTAGACATGACTGTGATCATAGGATTAACACCAACAGCACTAGGCAACGCACTTGCATCGCACACAAACAACTTCTCAGCTTCCCAACTCTCTCCATTCAAATCTATTGCACCTTCTTTTTCATTTTCTCCAATTCTACAGCTTCCCATCTGATGAGCTGAGCTATACACGTTCCATTTCTCAGTCATCCCCTTTGGTCCTTCCTCTGTACTCACCGAGTCTAAAAACTCTTCGATTGAATTCTCATCGACACCTTTGCATATTAGTCTCTGCCCGTCGCTTCTGTGAGTTCCTATTTCCTCTGCTCCAGCTGCTATTAGTATCCTCAACGACTGTCTAAGCCCGGCTTTGAGATTATCTCTGTCGGTTTTGTCCACCGCGTAGCTTATTCTGCCTTCGGTTTTCACTTCTCCTGACCCGCGGTCTCTAACTATCGTTATGAGACTCGCGGTTCTTGAGTATCTAGCCATTCTTTTCTTCATGTCAAGCCCTGAGGTCCAAGGACATAAAACCGAGAATGAACCTGGTCCTAGTGCCGGTGTCTCTATGATGGCTCTAACTTCAGACTCTTCTGATAATACTTTACTCACTGATGTTATGATCCCGCCTTCGTATGACTTTCCCTTGAAATTGGAAGATTCCTTCTCCGGGAAGTAACCCCAAGCCATTAGAACAGGGTGTAGGTGAAGGTTTTTACCTATGTGTCGGTTTCTCAACCCGCTAGATATCATCAAAGGAGGTGTTAAAAGAGCACCCCCTGCTGAAACCGTTACTTTAGCTTCGATCTTTAGCGTCTTTGCTATGTTTCCGTTTAAAGATTTAGCCATCACTCCCAAACATTTCATTTTCTTGCCTCCTTTGTTACCACTGTTCTTTTCGAGTATAAATCTCTCCGCTTTACATCCCGTTAGAATCACGGTGCCGTGACTAACCGCATCAACAAGCCAAGTCCGGTCGCTTCCTTTCTTGTCTCCTTGTATACATCCATACCCGCAAGATCCACAGTAATGACTCTCAGAGGAGTTTCTTGGCACGTTTTCGACATTAACCCCGAGATTTTCGCAACCTTTTCTCAGAACCTGATTCTGGAAACTCTCCATTTCACATTTCTCCGTGACACCCATCCTCTCCCACACAACTTCCATAGCCGAAACATATTCTTTCGTAGCGAAAAGAGGTATGTTTTGATCCTCTGACCATTCTTGAAGAACCGATTTCGGCGTTTTGATACACGCAGACCAGTTCACAGCAGATCCACCGCCTACAGTTGCTCCAGCCAACACCATAAGATTCCCATCAACACTCGGAAGAATCCCTCCATTTTCATACAGTTTATCCAAACCAGGACCTTCGAAAGGACGATATTCGGAAGGCGTAAAGTAGCTTCCCTTTTCAAGAACAACTACTTTTAAACCAGATTTTGCTAGAACAGAAGCTGCCACGCCTCCTCCTGAACCAGACCCTACCACCACAGCATCACATTTTATTCTGATCTCATCATGGTCCGTGTCAAGAACCGCTTCTAGGCCTTTATGAGCAAGTGATTCAAGAAGAGTCTGCTCTGTTTCTTCCATCGTCTCCACTATCCCTTTCTCAAGAGGTCTTTCCTTACGAGTTTCAGAAGGTGTATTCTCATCGAGGTTAACATGATACCCTATGGCTTCCCATGCCTGGTTTTCGCCATTTGGAGTCACCTACACAAAAGAAACGACATATCCATAAAATCTTGAACATTTCTATAAGTTGCTCTGTTTTTAACTTTTTACAATAGAATTAAAATCAGACTAATTCACGATTTTCAAAACTTTGGATCGGTTTAGTATAACCAAATTGAAAAATGATCTAGTTAAATCGCTTGCTACACACTTAAGATCCAGTTTTTCATAATGGGATGAATTTATTATGTATAGTAAATTATATTTATAACAAAAATCTCATATGAATACGTTTGGTACGATTTCAGGTTTAAGATTTTCTAATTTTAGTATATATGAATTTGGATGATTTTTTCCTTATAAATATTCATTAATTTTGAAAACAAAAAAAAAATTGATATGAATACGTTTGGTACGGTTTCAGGTTTAAGATTTTCTAATTTTAGTATATATGAATTCGGATGATTTTTTCCTTATAAATAATCATTAATTTTGAAAACAAAAAAAAAAACTGATATGAATACGTTTGGTACGTTTTCAGGTTTAAGATTTTCTAATTTTAGTATATATGAATTTGGATGATTTTTTCCTCATAAGTAGTATATATAAATTAATACGTTTATCTAGTTTTTTTGGCTATATTTGAATTCAAATTTTGGATATATGTAGAAAGAAAGTAAATGAATCTAAACCAAGCGATTCGGTTTTCAATTATTTGGATGGATTTTGGACTGGTGTGTTGAACAACATAATCTATGTGGTTGAGACAAGGCCATGAAGTACAAAAACAGAGGATTTGAGACATACCCGAGAGAAGAAACAGAAGAGGAATGCAACTTTGATGTAGACAAAAGCAGCTCTAATTGGAGTCAAAAACCAATTTCTGAATTGTTTCTGAAGTACTCTTTCTCTCTTCTCCAACGAGAGCTCACTGAATTTCTCAACAAAAGGCCATCTCGAGACCAAACATTCGGTTCCACAAATGAGTAATGTCCCAAGCCGAGTCGCAAGCAAGAACAATATAAGCCTAGTAGCAAGATAAGCTTCTATCGTCCCTCGTTTCGTGATCAGCTCAATGCTCTGCATCCATTAACAAGTCTTTTTAAATAACCGCGATTAATTTTAGGCCGAAACCTAGACTAATAATATTCACGTTAAAAAAAAAAAACTAGATATTTTTGTTATTTAAAAGGTCAATGGAGGTCAACATAGAACCACAAGGATTTTATTGGAACTTGATCAAACGAATCCTTTAAATAATCAAACAAATCAAAACGAATCTTCTAATATTAGGTCATAGGTTCTTGATTTGTGTTTGAAAAAACAAAGAAGTCAAAACTTTAGCATTTGAAAAAAAAAAAAAACAGATCATTGGATCAATATAAAGATAAAGAGTGTGTGCCTGGCGAAGGACAGGAGTTTGAGACCCAGAAGTTGAGTAAAATGACCGGAGAGCCTCTTTGTTCCGGTGGTTATCACCTTCGCCGGAAACTTCTTCCGGCGGTGGCGACACTGGAGGCAAGACAGCTTCACAAAAGCTAGCTAAAGATTCCATCTCTGCCTCCGTGATGTCCCGGAGGCCAAATTTTCCGGCGACTTTATACTTACCCATCAGACAATTTGCTTTAGTATGATTAAAAACAAAAAACTGAGAACGTCTTAGGCTGTTTCAAAACACAAACTCTGTTAGGATATATATAGACACAACGTTACAGCTGTCTGAATTACATAAAAATAGATATATAAAACAAAATTGCTAAGAGAACCCCCAAAACTTGTTTTTAACTCTTTTTGATGATTAGAGTTTTTTATTTGTCGTTTTAGTACGTATGTAGATTTATGTAATATTCTAGTATATGACATTTTGTCTTATTAGTAGTTATGATGATGATTGACAATTTAAATGTATATGAAAAATTGGACCAAATTTGAATGTTTGTATATGGTGCATATCTACCCACGTTGTTGTTTCTTTCAAATTCTACCTGTACGCCGAATTTTGTTGGTATCATATGATGTAGTTTGAATATATTTCCTAACTACAATTTAAGATGATGGTCATATCTTTAAGGGTCCCCATGTTTAGTGTCCCTAAAAATGGTGGTTAAACACTTATAATTACAAAATATAGGGACTAGTATGCAATTAGTAGAGACTAGTAAGGGGGAAGTCTTTTTCAGTTTTATAGACTGCAACATGTGAAAACTACAGGCAACTAAAATCGATTAGTAATTAATTACTAAGTAATGATTGAAGAAACATAACAAAGGCACAAAAGAAGAAAATTGTCAGACAAGTTCTCATAGTTATGGAAAAAAAAATCACGTGCGATACTCTCTTTTTTTGTGTGTGTTTGTGTTTGACAACTGCGATGCTCTAAAGACCACAATTTAAAACTTGTGATAGCCAACTTGTGAGTTAATGCAAAAGCCCCGTAACGTTTTTCACGATCTAGCTTTTCTTATTCGGTATACGTGTATTCGATTTCTTCTCACAAATTTTATAATACTACTATATGAAGAAATACACTTTTGTATAAATATACCTAAACCTAAAAACTAATACAACATCGCGATCGGTTACACGTATATATTAATTATTAAAACATACTTTTATTTCTTTGGAGAGGTCATGCTTGTGCCACTAGACCAAATGGTTTTTGGTTTATGAGTTTTTTGTTTGTTAATTTTAAGGAAAGGTATGTCAATAACTTTTAATTTGTACTCTTTCTGTTTCAATTTTAAGTGATGTTTAAGATTTTTGTAGACATATTAAGAAAATCATTAAAATCTCATTTAATTTACCTAATTTACATTAAAAAAATATTAATAACTACAAGTGTATAACTAATTCAACCAATAAAAAAATATACTATAAAATATTGGTCAAACAATATTAAATACATTTAATTTTTACATAGAAAATTGAAAACATTACTTAAAATAAAACAAAAATATTTCTTTAAACATCATTTAAATGATACGGAGAGAGTAATATTTTACTCAAAAATATATCTAGGATTCCAAAGGTGTTCAAAAATTGAGTCAGATGCTCAATAAACATAATGTCTAAGAATTAGGTGAAATTCATGTGTTCATCAATTAATATTTAGCGCAAAACAAGTCATAAATGTTGCTTAGCTGCAACGAAATTGATTACAAATTGTTTTGCTCTGAATTTTTTAATTTCTTTACTGGTTAGAAACACATGCTAGTAGTGATTATCTATAAAAAAAAATTCTCATTTACTCATCGAGTATTTCATGAATTTCTTTCAAATACTCCTAATTATTGATTGTTGACAAATACTGTAAGATTCAAGCACCGACGATCCCCAGGCCGTTTTGACTTTTGAGATAACATTTGATAGAAAAATAAATACATTTCATTGGACGATGCTTTGCCTCATTTAAGAACTGAAGAAAATAGCAGTATCAAGGAAAATGTAGAGTGACTTCCAGATATTTGTTAAATTTAGTTTACATCGATTAATTAGACACAAACTCGATGAATTATTGATTTAAATTGCATATTATTTACATCCACGAAAAAATTGGTCTGGCCCTACTTTTGTATTTTGCAGCAAATATGTGGGAACCGGTGGAACCAATCAGGTACCTCCACGTCAGCATATGCATGTCATGTAGTCAACAGTGGTCATGCATCCCCATCTAACAAGCCAAGTGTGTCGAAGCATCCGAGATCTCGTTAGACAGAACGCTCTAAACTATAAATAGATTTAGTATAATCTAAGCTAAGTATGATTCTTTACAAATTAATATTTATTCTGATCCCAAAGGCTTTGGTAACTTTGTTTAGGAAATTTCCTCTCCATTGTTATCGGTACAACATATATAATTGCTTGGTGATAAAGATACGTTTCGCTTTAACAAGAAAACAATAAATATATGTTATATATACCGTGGTGGATGAGGTTAGATTATACTAGGTATAAGGTATTGTTTGCCAAAATAATACAATAAAAAGTTCACAAAATATTTAGTAATCAGTTAATTCTTACACTATCTTTTTATTAATAAATTATATCGGCTGATTCAGTCAGCCCAGTAAAAACGCACCGAAATGCTAGAGAATGGATTTCTTTCCGAATAACTTTCACTTACTTAAACTTATCTGAACACATGTTATATGTTCATCTACAGACTGTTTTATCCGTCTTAGGTGATATTCACGTACGTCTTTGTAACGCCCCGACCGCCATCTCTTTTAATGGGCCTCACGTCCTCTCTCGGCCCGTGGGCCCACCCCTGTCCGACGGCCGGTCCGCTACGTCCGGGAGGCTTTAAAGACTTGTTTACCGACCCTACAAATCACCACATGATCTTTTCATGTGTTTTGTCCTCACTCACACAGTTCCGACAATCACTTCCCGGAAGGTCACCCATTCGGAAACTACTCCAGCCCAAGCACGCTTAACTGTGGAGTTCTCTCAGGACGTTTGACCGAAAAGATAAGTGCACTTTGGAGACATAAATGGCCAGATCAATTCTTTTAAACCTTTCGCATGCACCACCATATTTCTGAATTCGGGGTGTTACACTCTTCAACCGTAAATGGATATGATCTAATAAATTCCAAATATTTGATATAGTGGTAAAACTATAATTCTATATATGTATATATAAAAGATTTAAAATCATGATATTTAAATTATCGTAGTATTATGACTAAAATATTTCAAGTTATACGGACCATAGCATTCAATTTCCATGATTGAGGTACACTTTGTGATTAGCTATTATTTATCGACCAATATCGTTCAATGGCTCTAAAGCTTAATTATATTTTAGTTGTAGACGGAAAAATCATTAAAACACTATCAACATGAATGTTTGCGAAATATCCATAAAACATTTACAAGCCGAGGCATCAGCAAAAAGTCTTCTTATTAAAACCTTCATGATATGTAAAAATTCCATCTCTCATATATAGGGTGGGTTGTTTAATTAATTGTATATTAATACTGTGTTACTGTGTTAGTATAGCTTAGTGCTTAAAAGTCAAGAATGTAGTTGGACACAATTAAAGATGTCACAAGTTGTCATTAATTCATTACGTATTAATGTAAAGTAAAATAACGATAACACGTTATATATAGCATTTTCAAGATAACCCCACTTTCTATACCTTTTTCGTTCATGTTACTTTCTGACCAGTTATAATCTTGAGTTAAAAGTCATAATAGCAATTTGTTTAGTTAAATAGACTTTACACGGATACTAATAATCTACAAAATCGACCAATATTTTATGCGTAAGTTGTTTTTCACATATTCGATTTCTTATGCAATGCCAATTGATTGTACTGTTTATTGATTAACTAGATATATATGTGTTTAAATCGGTTCCAATGTACATACACAATTCGAAAAACAACCAACATCTAACTAGAAAATTTGCACCAATGTTTTGAGTGTAGTGAAAACAAAAAGATCGAAGGAAAATTTAACAGAAATAAATGAAATGTTATAAAATCACATTTGACATTATAAATAATGTTTTAATGTTCCTTATCTTATAGTAGTATTTGAATTTGCATTTCTTTCATAAATATGAACACTAATGTTTATTTTACCGATTAGTACGCATAGAATTAATTATATATAGATCCATTCAAACTAAACTTTTCTTTGTCGAACATTAACATGTAGCTTGTCATTAGTGTGGATTCATGGACATAAATATAAAACGGCAGAACTAAGCACAGAAACGTCAACAAACTGTATCAAAACTGTTAAATACAAACCTAGCTAATAATATAAACACAAGTAGTTTTCTCAACAACACAAAAACATAAATAGTTCTTCCCCTCTCTTTTTTTTTCTCAAACGTACGGTGGGTTTTAATTTCTTGCAGCAGTTGTCTTTTTTTTTTTATTATTATCAAAACGTCTATTCGACAAACTAGACACTTCCCAATTCTAATCTTGTTCTTCTTCCAAATTGTAAATATATCTACAATGTCTTAGGTTCAACATTGTAGCTTCGGTTCCAGTTTCTCTTCTTAACTTTAATATCAGCTACTATTCTTGTACGGTAAATATCTTTTGTTCACCAACATATAATTAGAACCCAACTGCCAAAAACTTATCATAAATTGCAGTTCTAACCACACAACTTTGTAGTTCCAACCATTAAATGCCACAAAATTTGGACGATTTCTTAAGACAAGAAGAACATAACAACCAAACCTTATTGATTAATATGAAATGTCTCCATAAAACCGGGAGATTTCCCCAAATAAAGAAAACACGGCAAATGGTCACGTAATCTCCACGATGAATGTTTAATTTTTCTTTCACAAAAGTTAAAAAAAACTTTACTCAATAGATAACTAGAATGGATACCAACTAAGCAAAAGAAATTCAAAAAAAAAAATACTGAATATGAAGTTATATTATTTTCAAACCTCATGTACTACTAAAAGCCTAATAATTTGTTCTACAAAGAAATCCAAATAAATGTTGACAAAAAAAAAAAAAAAAAAAAAAAAAAAAAAAAAAAGAAATCCAAATAAATGGAAGCCATGCATGTCATGTGACAAAAAGAGAAAAACACACCTGTATAAGTATTGGATCATACTGCCTCCGAGTGGGACGCTAGTTAGGAAGGAAATAGTTTGTCCTGTTGTTGGGTTTGACAAAACACACAAATGGGTCTTTATTGGGCCATACGAAAAATGACAAGGGAATGGAAGAATGGGCAATGTCTATGGCCCAAAGACATTACACAATATCAAGATAAATAGGTGGTAGATGAGACTAGACATCAAAGAGTGATGTAGAGAAAGAGAGAAAGAAACAAGGGTTTTCTTCCTCAAACTTTCTTCATCTTTGTAGTGTTAATTTTCGTTTTTTTCTAGTGTAATCTTATAAAAACCAAAAGCTAACATCACAAGTAATTTGGCTTCTAGTATTTTGTGTCTTCGTAATTTGGCTATACAATTTTCATTCTGTCCTTCGTCTCAAGCATTAGAATCGGAAAGGACAACAAAATCGTAATCACTTCGTCTAACTCCATTAGCAATTCCGCTTTTATTGAGTGGATAGACTGAAAATGTTTCACTGATTTATGCTTCCATGTTTTTGTTTTTTTGCCATGGAACCATTTATATAAGTCTACGATCGTTCGATTGTAAACTTAAACCATTTTCATTTTTATGAAATATTAACATTATTAGCAAAAAAAAAAAACATCACAAATAAGCTGTGTGTGTGAAAAAAAATTTCATAGTGAAGCTTGAGAGCAAGAGTTCTCCTCCGAGGCCCGAGCGTAGAAGTCGTGAACTCGGTTATCAAACCGTGTGTTGTTTATTTACCAAGCAAACGTTATTTAACATGTCCATTATGCATCAAATAATTTGGTTGGGTTGCAACTTGCAAGAAAGTTTCTCACACTATTGGAGAAATATTTGAAAATGAAACCTAGAGACGTAACTGAAATAATTAATCACCATAATATACACCCAAAACAAATTCAAATTAGTGGCACCAAACTACATCATTTAACTCAGAAAATAATATGCAATTTTGTTTCTACACACGTATTTAGAAACGTGACAGCTTAGAGCATCATTATTGATGGACTCTTAACTTTTGCTCTTAACATTATTTAAAATTAAAATTTTGCTTTTTGAAAGCTAAGATACAAAGAGAATATCTTAACAAAAATGTTCTCCAATGGTTGGTTCTTAAGAAAAAAATTTCAAATTTTTGCAAAACAATACTTTCCAATACAACCAAACTCATACAAGCTTTGATATCTATCACTTTCACTAAACATGTCTCTTGCATGCTGTTTCTTTTTAGCAAAAAAAAATTCATTTCTAGAACTCTTAAACAAAAATATTCTGCCGTACCAGGAGGATCATGTAGACTTTGATGCAAACTGTCATCAGAGAAATCCTTCAAATGTTGCCAAGAACATTCATCATTATTGCACCTTCCACGTAACTCGTACATGCAGAGAGGCCAAGAAGGGTCCACCTTCAAATAAAAGGTGTAGAAGCCAATACTTTCAGATGATAGATTGTGCTCCGAAATAAAGGACCTGACAAAGCTATTGACGATAAAAGGTCATTCTCTGGTGAACTCCTATGGGACTCCATATCTATAGATGACTGAAATTCCTCCATTGAGCTTCAACACAAAACCATGTGAGGTTTTTGAGACACATAAAGACAATTGACAAAAAGATTCAAGCTTTAACACATAACTCACATTCAAACAGAGATTCAATTTGACAAAAAAACTATAAACTTTGGTTCTAACAAACCAACGAGGCATTAAACCAGAATGATTAAAGTTCATGGGTGTTGACTAACCTGAATAATTAACTGCACATCATTGATATCTAGACCACGAGCAGCAACATTTGTAGCCACCAATGTCGAAAACTTGCCATTCCTAAATCCAGCAAGAGTAACCTATAATCACATTCGCAGCCAAACAGAACCTGCAACCAAAATCAAACATAAACTGTGTCTTATTCCTAGTCATTGGATAACATCATTTTAGTTTAAACAACTTCCACAACTAATTACAAGAATAGAAACTTCCACAACTTCCACAACTCAATCATAGATACAATGCTCCATAGAAATAAAACCATAATTACTATGTCATCACAGTGAATTATATCTCACAAAAGAAAGAACAAAGTAAATTCAGAAAAGCAACTGTATCAAACATATAAGGAACGAAGAATCTGGCACCTTTTGGATCAACTTCACGAGAGATCTTAATGGCATCAGATGTAGCAAGATCCTGATTTGCAGGGGAAATAGCTAGTATGATGCAGTTGGGCTGTCAAAAGCCCAAACCTGACCACCGACGACGGCAATGAGTCCCACAGAGTTGGGAGGGAGCTTCCCTCGCCGTAATCTCCCAGAGCCGTACATGCTCTCTGAATCTTGTTCACAAGCGCAATCAAAATCTCCATAACAAAATCAAACCTAATCAGCTCCGATTACTCAACGGCGGAATCTATATTCCGGAAGTCTCTGGAAGAGAATCAACAGACTTCTTCTTCCAAACAGACCAAATTAAAAATCGAAAGCCTCCATGGTTCGCGTGAAAAAGAGAGAGAGAGGGGAGGAGAAGAGAGAGAGGGAAAGGAGTAGAATAAAAGCTTGACACGTGTACGTCTCTTAGGTGAATAAAAACCTCTTAGTTAAGGAACGTTGCTTAGTGTTAAAGGAGAAAATTCAATAAATTTAATCACTTTTATTCCTAAGATTTTCCTAAGATCTACCTAACATACTACCGTTAATGATGCTCTTACGCGCTAATAACTCGTGGTGCTTCTCAAATCACATAATAATTAAATTCTCTGTCTCCAGATTCTTCTTCTTCTTCTTCCTCTAGAAATATCTCACTCTCTTCGTGTTTGTTTTTCCTCAACAATGGCGGCTTCTTCTACTTTCTCTTCACTACTAACTTCACCACCAGCACTTCTTTCCGACCACCGCTCTCCTCCGCCGTCCGTCAGATTCTCTTTTTCCTCCTTAACTGTTCCAAAATCGTCTCGTTTGGGTTTTACTGTATCAGAGAGGAGAAATCTCGCTGCGAATTCGTCTCTCGTTGAGGTATCTATCGGCGGCGACCGAGACCCACCACCATCATCTGGATCGGGTGGAGACGACAAGGGAATTGCATTACTCAAACTCAAATTACTTGTGAGTCTGATTTAAACAAATCGGTGAAATTAGAAGAAATTGGTTTCGTTTCTTTGGAATTAGGGTTTTTATTAGATTCGATTTCAATTTGATTATATAGTGAACTTTGGGAAATTTTCCAGATTAAGAGATTTTGTTTGATCTTTGTTGTGAGAATTGCAGAGTGTAGTTTCGGGATTAAACAGAGGACTTGTGGCGAGTGTAGAGGATTTACAAAGAGCTGAAGTGGCTGCTAAAGAACTTGAAACCGCTGGTGGACCGGTTGATTTAACCAACGATCTTGACAAGCTTCAAGGGAAATGGAGGCTGTTGTATAGCAGCGCGTTCTCGTCTCGGTCTTTAGGTGGTAGCCGTCCTGGACTACCCACTGGACGTTTGATTCCTGTAACTCTTGGCCAGGTAATGTTGGTGATTCTTGAATCAATGCTCTGTTTTTTACCCGTCAAGATTCGGTTTTTTCGGGTAAGTTGTTGAGTAGTTTATGTGCACGGGTCTGGTCTATCATCATTAGTCTTGGTTGAGTTTGAATGGGGATGAGCTAAGAATATAGCTTTCTGAGGTTCCAATGTCGCAATGTCACTCGAAAGCAAACCTTTTTCTATATTGCCAAGTTATATGAATACAGTCTGGTCTATCATCGGTAGTCTTGGTTGAGCTTGAATGGTGATGAGCTAAGAATCTAGCTTTCTTTGGTTTAAATTTGGCAAAGCACCTAACTTGAATCAGTAGAAACTAGAAAGCAAACTTCTTTAATATTGTGTCTTGTTTCTGAATCATAAAAACTGTGTGGAACCAGGTGTTTCAACGGATTGATGTGTTTAGCAAAGATTTCGATAACATAGCAGAGGTGGAATTAGGAGCTCCTTGGCCATTTCCGCCACTAGAAGCCACCGCGACATTGGCTCACAAATTTGAACTCTTAGGTTTGCTTCTCCCTACCTCTCTCATTACGCTTATCGAATTGTGGAAGAGCAAAATGTTAATCTGCATTTTTGGATATTTATGGGAAAAACAGGCACTTGCAAGATCAAGATAACATTTGAGAAAACAACTGTGAAGACATCAGGAAACTTATCGCAAATTCCTCCGTTTGATATCCCAAAGCTTCCCGACAGTTTCCGGCCATCGTCAAACCCTGGAACTGGGGATTTCGAAGTCACCTATGTTGATGATAACTTGCGCATAACTCGCGGGGACAGAGGTGAACTTAGGGTATTCGTCATTGCTTAATTCTCAAGCTTTGACATGTAAAAAGATAAAATAAATACTTTCTGCTTGTTGCAGCCTCATGAGTTTTGTACAAATCATGTGAACAGGTGAATCATATGAATAAATTGCATGACTTAGAAATTGCACAAGGATATAGAACTTTCAAAATTTTGCATTATATTGATGTCTCTAATGAGTTATATTCTTGAATTTTTCATAGGTTGGTAGAGAACACATTTGCAAAAAAAAAAAAGATTCGAAGGTCAATGATTAACAACAAAACCATATCTTGATGATTCAAAATATAGAGTCAACAAGCAAAGATGAGAGAATCTTATACGAGAGCTAAAACAAATGGATTCCAAATCCAGCAAAGTACAAAAATTGCAGAAAATAAGATGAAACCAACTTAAAACAGAGATGTTCCCTTCCCCTTCTTGTCTCCACCAATCTCGAAATGCTTGCACCTCTGTATAAAAAACAACAAAAAACCAACAATGTGAGCAAATCACCAAGTCACAAATTCGGTAACAAGAATTGATCTACTAAAGATCTGTTCTTTTCACCTTGATCGGGCGCTGCGAAAAGTGCTTGCAGCTTTGGCACTGAAGCCTCAACACAATCTTCTTCGTGGTCTTAGCCTGTTCAAAAGATTTACAAGATGTATCCAAGTAAGAAAATGTTTCCTCACTGTTCAATTTCAATATTCTACTCCAATGGTTCCCTAAAACTAGCTCATTCTAACTAAATGGGCCAAATTCAATACAACAAAACTATCAATACAAATGATAATCAATAATACCTTCTTGTGGAAGACGGGCTTAGTCTGACCACCATAACCAGATTGTTTACGGTCATAACGACGCTTTCCTTGAGCAGCAAGACTGTCTTTACCCTTCTTGTACTGGGTAACCTTGTGCAAAGTATGCTTCTTGCATTCCTTGTTCTTACAGTAAGTGTTCTTAGTCTTTGGAATGTTCACCTTCAAATTCATATAACCAAAAATGAAATCAGTTCACACACAAACAAAGTCATAAGACTTTTTTAAGGGTTTGTCAAAATCATTACGAAAGATTTATGCTATAAGAATATAAGATTAGATCTGGAAAAAAAAACAATAAATCAATCAACATGTATTCCTCAAAGATCTTAATCTTTGGAGAAGAACTTTACGAATTCTACGTCAGCTCGGGAGAGAAGAAACAATTTACCATTTTCGCGTCTCTGATCTCCGGTGAAGCTTCTGTGCCGTCGTCGTTCCACTAGACGAAGTTGTTTAAAGAAGATGAATTTATAGTACAATTTCTGAAAACCCTAATCCGACTTTGGGCCTTAGGTTAAACTAATAGGCCCATATTTATAGTATGTGGGTTAGACATAAACTATAGGCCCATCTTTATTTTATTTTATTGTGGCCCATCCTTAGACGTTGATGTTGTTTTCTATTGATTTTAAATCATCAAGAGTTTAAGACCCTAAAAATTAAAGTTGAAGTAATGAAATCAAAAGCATCAAAGACAAAATTCAGTAGAAAAAAATGATTGAACAACAAATGCAAAGCATCAATCGAAACCCAATAGATATGTCAAACACACTCAAGCCTATACTAATTGAATCCTGAGAACACAATAGAAAGATTCCTTGTGAATAAATTAAGAGTGTTAAGCAAGCATATATTTCACATCCCTGGTTCACAATCATCAAAGGGTTCTCTTTTCTCGACGCGATTTAAAAACATTGGTCTTGTAATGCAAAGGCATTTCCAACAAAAGGAAGAGAAAAGACAAAAGTGTGTAGATCAATCATGAGAACAAAAGCAAAACCACCACCACCACCACTCTAGTCTAATCTTGAATATATAACACTCTCTTCTTTTTTTTCCTCAATCTTTCATCTTCCTGTAGAACTTCCAAGACCCGCACAAGGGTATACCGCTCTCACTGATATATCTGTTTCTTTCGTCTTTACAGGTCCAATAGCTGGAGGAGGTTCGCCTCCTCCTCCTCCTCCTCCTCCTCCTCCTGCTGCTGATCCTTTTGATTTTTTCTGTCTTGAATGTTTTGGTCCAACAGATTGTTCAGTCTGTTGAGGTAACTCTAACCCTGAACCTGACTCTGACCCCGAACCCGTGTTCTGTTCTCTCTGTTTCCCCGTGCTGCGTCTTGATTGCCTCACTGATCCTCCTACCCTTGATGGAGATTCTGCTGGTGAGTTGTTTCCTGTGGATGTTTTACGTCTTCCTTTGTTCCTATGCTTCTCTCCGGAACTCCCAGGTTTCTTGTTAGAGCTTCCCTTCGTCTCAGTCTTTGTACGATCTTGAGACTTGAAATCATGCATCTACATATACCCATGAAAATATTTGATCTAATCCACAAGCAAAACCTATGTAGAAAATGTTATATAAATATTGAGAGAGAATGATATATATACCCAGCTTGGGGTGGTAGCAGAGGGTCCTTCCCATCCTATATGAGCAACATGTTTGACATCGGTCGGTATTCCAATCTGCATCTCTGGTTCCTTCTCATCCTCTACAACATTTTTTTATATCATATAAGAATCTGATTTTCTGTAATTGTATAGACATATGTGAGTTTGTTTCGAGAATGAATAAACTCACCGAAGATACGAGCAATGTACCTCAACCCTTTTAATAGACCCTTCATTGGTGAGGTCATTCAACTTGCAGCTGCATACCTAGCTTGCACACCAAGCAAAATCAAAAACCATTTTTTCGTAAATCTAATGTTTTTCTAGAGAGTTTCTCCTTCTTTTAGGAATACAACTTTTGATAATGCAGAGATTGGCGATAAGAATCTTAAGAAAAAGAAAAAAGAACTTACATGTTTGTGGAGTAGATAAAACCCTATTTAACAAAGAAACAGATTCATATAGATGTGCAAGAGCTATGAGTTTCTGCAAATTTGAGAGGAATATATTAACAAACAAGAAGAAAAATCAACACATTTATTTCTGTTTGGAGAAGAAAGAAAATGATACCTGGTTAAAAAAACTTGTAAATTTCTTATTATCTTCAAATCAAAATGCTTTTTTTTTGGTCTCAAACTATACTCGTGTTGTTATCTTGTTTCTTGTTTTGTTTAAGAGAGAGGTAACGTAAGAAGAAAGAAGTCTCAAATGTTGTCCTCTTTGTTCGATCACAAAGGCTCTTTTTTTCTTGTCTATTTCTTTTTTACATATACATGAAAGCTACGTGGCGGATGATTATTGGATGTAGAAGTTGCAAGTCAACGGATAGCCAGAAGATTTTCCCTTATTTGGTGGTTTCAATGCAATTTCATTAATTCTATATTAAGCTGATGTGAGTCGTTTTTTCTGGCAAACGCGGGAGATACGGTTTTCTTTTTTTTTAGGGAAAATCTCTAATCTCTAATCATCTTATTGAGCAAAACAAAACTACATATACCAGTATATATTTATTTATTTTTTGATATATAGTTTGGTAATCTACTTTATTTCTTAGTTATAACTTATATCTATATAATTTGCATACTAGTTATATATATAGTTTGATAATTTAATTCATTTCTTAGTTATATATTTATAATTTGCGATACATATCCCAACAATACATATCCATGATAAATAGCAAAACTAAAAAACACACATGAAACTTTATTTGCTGAAATGATCAGATGTTTTGCCTTCACGCATCAGTTGTTGTCGTTGTTTTCTTAAGGTACTTAACGCCGAGCAACTTAAAGATAACAAACACCATCACCCCGAGGACCAATGCAATGACAATGCCTATTATGATTGTAATCCAGAGTTTCATTGTAAAATAACTTAAAGAGCTCTTGTGTTTTTGGTTAGAGATTGAGTTTGAAGTCTATACTCTATGTCCAACGTTTCCTACTTATCTCTCTTCTTATATCATTCATTATTATATATAGGACTTCTTTCTCTGCATGCATGGTTGAAAGAATCGCAATTGTGTCTAGTAGTAATTGGGTTTGCATGATGTGTATCAATAAGCACACAAAGCACATTAAACTTTTGAGTTACTTTATTAAAAATGTCTTAAAGGAATCTGATTTTCTTCAAAACTTTACTATAAAAGCTAATATCTATTTAAATAATTTTACAAATACAGATTTCCTTTCCATAAATATTTTTTTTTTTTGAATTTTAAAAGTTAAAATTTATAGTCTCTCAAATCTTGGAAATTTGTATTGTATATATAAATGAAATTAAATAAAAGGTCTCTTAAAAGTATAGATTTAATTTTTTAATTAAGCTATATGTATAAAAAATCACTATTAATGCAATAATCTAATGTTTATAATATCATCCCACATAGTCAAATTTTTATCCATAAAGCTTGAAAAGCTAATTTCTGGTAGTTAAATGGTTTATCTTAAATATTATCAAAAAGACAGATTTCATTTCCATATTGTTTATATATCTTCAAAATTTTAATTTTAAATTTTAATCTCCCAATTAATGAAAATTTTTACCCCATATATAAATGAAAGAACTAAAAAACTTCTTAAAAATACATATGTTTATCTTTAAATTTAATCTATAATTTGCATAAAAAATTCATGAATGCATTAGTTTAATATTTATCATTTAGTCGAATGTTTATCCCTAACTATGATCTACGTATCATTAGGCAACCTCGACTCTTTATTTTTGGCATACCAAAGCAGGACCTTTATTTTGTAATTTTGTTTCCCTCGGCCCGTTGCTCTCTCGAATAAAATTAAAATTCTTTAGGGTAGCTTTTCTTTTGATGGGTATTATCAAAACATTGATTCTAGGCTATAATATTCAAGACTTGATGTACACATTTTTTTTCTTCTAAGAATGTAAATATTTCATTAGAAAATAAAAACAATTTAGAGCTACAGGACTGTAGATTCTACAATTTGGTCTCATCGCAAAAAAAATGATAAAAATATGGAAGTAAATAATAATCAGTCCATTGATACTAACAAAAACTACAACTTGAAGTACATGAAGCTATGTAGTCACAGATTAAAAAATTATAAATAGCGAAACTAAAACGCATAAATGAATGTTGCAACACAAAATTATAGAACACACAATCCCCCCCCCCCCCGAGGAACACTGCAATGACAATAGCGAATGCCACTATAATCCATAGTTTCATTCTAATTTGTAAAAAAACTAAAGATGTCACGTTTTTTTTGTTAGAAATGGAGTTCGAAAATGGCAAAACGTTTCTTGCCTGTATCTCTTCTTACAACATTCATTTATGTACAGCACTACAATCGATTTTTAAAGGAATTTTTGTATGGTTGAAAGAATCACAATATATTGATAACCTGATATTGTGTCTAACACTAGTTGGGTATGCATGATGTTTATCCATAAAACACAAAGCACATAAAACTTTTGAGATAAATTTAACAAATTTTTAAGTAAAAGGAATCAGATTTTCATCAAAACATAACTATAAAATTAAGCTAATTTTTAGCAATTCACTTGTCCTCTTAAATAATTTTACAAATATAATTTCAGTTTTACATTTAGGTTTTCAATTGAATTCCACCACAAAATATTTGAAACTTCTCATTTATTACCTTTCCATATATACATGTATGATCTTTATCATCTTTTTTTGGGAAAGCCAAAAGTAATCTCTAATCAAATAATCATCTTATTGAGCAAAAAATATATGCATATACCATTATTTATATATATATATATATATATATATATATATATATATATTTTTGATATAAAGTTTGGTAGTTTACTTTATTTCTTAGTTACAACTTATAATTATATAATTTGCGATACTAGTTTTAATATATAGTTTGGTAATTTAATTCATTTCTTAGTTATATATTTATAATTTGTGATACATATCCCAACAATACATATCCATAATAAATAGCAAAACTAAAAAACACATATGAAACTTTATTTGTTGAACAAATGATCATTTGTTTTGCCTTCACGCATTAGTTGTTGTCGTTGTTTTCTTGGGGTACTTAATGCTGAGCAACTTAAGGATACAAAACACAAGCCCCCCGAGGACCAATGCAATGACAATGCCTATTATGATTGTAATCCAGAGTTTCATTGTAAAATAACTTAAAGAGCTCTCGTTTTTGGTTAGATATGGAGTTTGAAGTCTATATTCTATGTCCAACGTTTGCTTATCACTCTTCTTATATCATTCACTATTACATATAGGACTTCTTCCTCTGCGTGCATGGTTGAAAGAATCGCAATTGTGTCTAGAAGTAATTGGGTTTGCATGATGTGTATCAATAAACACACAAAGCACATTAAACTTTTGAGTTAATTTATTAAAAATTTCTTAAAGGAATCTGATTTTCTTCAAAAGTTTACTATAAAAGCTAATATCTATTTAAAGAATTTTACAAATACAGATTTCCTTTTCATAAATAATTTTTTTTTGAATTTTAAGTGTCTCAAATCTTGGAAAAGTTTTATTGTATATATAAATGAAATTAAATAAAAGGTGTCTTAAAAGTATAGATTTAATTTTTTAATTAAGCTATATGTATAAAAAATCACTGTTAATGCAATAACTAATGTTTATAATATCATCCCACATAGTCAAAATTTTATCCATAAAGCTATACAAGCTAATTTCTGGTAGTTAAAAAGTTTATCTTAAATATTTTCAAAAAGACAGATTTCATTTCCAAATTGTTTATATATCTTCTAAAATTTAATTTTGAATTTTAATCTCCCAATTAATGAAACATTTTAATTACCCCATATATAAATGAAATAAGTAAAAAAAAAATTCTTAAAATATATATATGTTTGCATTAAATTCAATCTATAATTTGTATAAAAAATCATAAATACATTAGCTTAATATATATCATTTAGTCGAATGTTTATCCCTAACTGTGATCTACGTATCATTTGGCAACCTCGGCTCTTTATTTTGGGCATATCAAAGCAGGACCTTTATTTTGAAATTTTTTCTCCCTCAGCCCGTTGCCCCGAGTAAAATTAAAATTTCTTATGGTAGCTTTTCTTTTGTTGGGTATTATCAAAACATTGATTCTAGGCTATAATTTTCTAGATTTGATGTACACATTTTTTCTTCTTCTAAGAATGTAAATATTTCATTAGAAAATAAAAACGATTTAGAGGTACAAGACTGTAGATTCTAAAACTTGGTCTCTTCGCAAAAAAAAAAAGATAAAAATATGAAAGCAATTAATAATCGGTCTATTGATACCAACAAAAACTACAATTTGAGGTACATGAAGCTATGTAGTCACAAATTAGAAAAAGATATAAATAACAAAACTAAAACGCATTAATGTCACAAATTAAAAATTATTTAAATACTTAATAAAAGAGATTTGATCTGCCATATGTATGTCTCCTTCACTCATTAGTCTCCGTCCATGTCCTTGTTAATGACTCCGGTGCAATACAAAATGATAGAACACACTATCCCTCCGAGGAACACTGCAATGACAATAGCTAATGCCACTATAATCCATAGTTCCATTGTAATTTGTAAAAAAAACTAAAAGATGTCAAGTTTTTTTGGTTAGAAATGGAGTTTGAAAATGACAAAATGTTTCTTGCTTGTATTTTTTACAACATTCATTTATATACAGTACTACAATGGAATTTTTGTATGGTTGAAAGAATCACAATATATTGATAATTTGATATTGTGTCTAAGAGTAATTGGGTACGCATCATGTTTATCCATAAAACACAAAGCACATTAAACTTTTGAATTAATTTTTTAAATTTTAAGTAAAAGAAATCAGATTTTCATCAAAACATAAGTATAAAATTAAGCTAATTTTTAACAATTTACTTATCTTCTTAAATAATTTTACAGATATAATTTCCTCTTTACATTTAGGTTTTCAATTGAATTCCATCACATAATATTTTAAACTTCTCCTTGATTACCTTTCCATATATATATATATATATATAATATTTATATTTTTTGATATATAGTTTGGTAATCTACTTTATTTCTTAGTTATAACTTATATCTATATAATTTGCATACTAGTTTTAATATATAGGTTGGTAATTTAATTCATTTCTTAGTTATATATTTATAATTTGCGATACATATCCCAACAATACATATCCAT